TTTACTGTGTTAAATGAATCAACTGTTTGTAAATTCCATCGATAACTGGGTGCAAAAAACAGAGAGGGGAAAAATAATTCTGAGCAGTTTCAAAAATACTGTTATCTTCAGTTTGAATTCAACCTATTTTTAAGAAAAGACCTGAAAGAAAATCCCAAGCTATGTGCACTCTTTTCATGTGAAGAGCACACTCTTTGATTAGTCAGGAAAATGGGGAAATTGGGAAATCAACTAAAATTTGCACGTTTTATTTTTGTATTTTGCTCGTCAGCAGCCAACAAAAGCAGTTGCATAGTTCTCACTTTGACACCAAATAAGACCATATGATCAGGTAATTAAAGCATCTGTGATAATTAACAAAATCAAGGTACATCACATTTGCTTCTGCCTCTAAAACTGGTATTAATATTCGAGCCCCGACCTCGGGGTTTACAGCGTCTGTACTCATTATCAGAGATCAGCTGCTTCTTCAGCAACACATTTGGCTATCTGGAGAGATTTATAAACCTCAGATCGGTTTGAATGTTGTCAAAGCCACCACATGGCACGCAGTTATATTTTTTCTTCAATTTTCTAAAATCTCAATTTCTGAATACTTGGTTTCGCATAAAAAATTGCAGCTCAAAGGGATGGGCACATAGCTAAGAAGTAATTTCCCTGGGACTGAAATGTCATTTTCTAGTTTCTGTGTGCTGCAATTAATACAAACGTTGCTCCTTGCTAAAGCCAAAATGAAAAACTGATAGTTTAATGATTTTCTTCAAAAAGTAGTCCTCTAGTAATAATTTATGAAAAAATGCCTGAGTAAATCAAAGGTGATTTATGAGTCTTGAGCTTTTCTATAATAGAGTAAAGATGTGCTTTGGGTATTTTGTACTCTGAGGGTATGAGGGTTTTTTTTTTTTTTTGATGGGCTGTAAATGGGTGGAATAATGAACCTGGGTGTTTTTCCCTCCTTCTGTTCAGGATTTCATGACACAAAACACGCCGAAGCAGAACGAGCACTGCCTGAAGAACTTTGACCTGATCGAGTACCGCCAGGTGCTGAGCCACCTCTCCATCCAGATCTACCAGCGGCTCATCGGCATAGCACAGGGCATCCTGCATCCCGTGATCGGTGAGTTCACAGCCTCTAGGAGGGTGTTTCCTGGCTGAGATTATCTGCTCTGGCTGTTTTTCCAGACCTCTGCACAGTGCTAACACGACCTGGGAGAGTTTTTCTTTACCCCTGTGATAGAAACCAACAGGGTTGAGGGGTTTCTTTGCACCTTGACTGAAGATATCTCTTTCCTCTCCGTTGGGGAGAGAGGAAAGTAGTGAGAGTACCTCTCTGTAGTGAGAGAGGTGAGGTGGTGCTGGTGGGTTCCCCTCCACACCAGGCTCATGGCTAACTTCTTCGTGGGTGGAAATGTGCAGAGGAGAAAACTGGGAAGAGGAAAAAGACTATAAAGACCTTGTGTTGCTAGTATAAAAGAGTTACCTCCTTGGCCAAATCCCTGAATATGAGGAGTGCCCCATTCCTAGAAGTGTTCAAGGTCAGGTGGGATGGGGCTTGGAGCAACCTGGTCTGGGGGAAGGTGTCTCTGCTCGTGGCAGGGGAGTTGGACCTGCATGGCCTTTAAGATCTCCTCCAACCCATAATATGCTAAGATTCCACGATATTTGTGTACTTTTGAACTGGTTTATATTCTCAGAACAAATCAGCAATTCATGGATCTGCCCTGCTCTCAGACCGCGCAGCACCCAGCACTTGCATCACTGAGACTGACACATGTTTGTTACAGCCCACAGAGGAATCCATTTTTCCCTCTAGTGATTAATAAGTGGGTGGATACAGGCTTTTTTAGCGTGTTTTTCCCCTTTTTTCAGTGTCTGCGATGTTGGAAAGCGAGAGTATCCAAGGGCTTTCTGGTGTCAAGCCCATGGGCCACAGGAAATACAGCTCCAAGTCATCAGAAAGAGACGTGCCCTACGGGTTGGACGACATGATCCGCCAGCTGAACACATTCCACAGCATCATGTGTGACCAGGGCCTGGACCCAGAGATCGTCCAGCAGGTGTTCAAGCAGATCTTCTACGTGATCAACGCAGTCGCCCTGAACAACCTGCTGCTGAGGAAGGATGTCTGCTCCTGGA